GCATTTGGCCATACTATCGTTCCCCGATTCCTTGCTTGAATACCAGACCAGATGTTGTTGTGATATCCTTCTCTAGAGGTTATTAACATTTAAATCAATAGATAGTAAAGCAGATTCCTGTCCATAATATTGGTGGGCCTCATTCAGTTAGTGGAAGGTCTTAACAGACTGAGGTCCCAAAATGAGCAAAGAATTCTTCTTCCAGACTGCCCTGAGATGAAAGCGTGCAGTGCCAACTGCTGGCAGGATTTCCAGGCTGCCCACTGACCAGCAAGTTTCAAATCTGTCAGTCCCTACAGATCCCTGAGGCAATTAATTTATTTATTTACTTACTTACTGCAGGACAGGGGACTGAACCCAGGGCCTCCCCATTGAGCTACATTCCCAGCCTTTAGAACTTTTTTTTAAATTTTAGACAAGGTCTCACTAAGTCACTGAATTGCCCAGATTGTGCTCAAATTCTTTATCCTCCTACCTCAGCCTCCCAGGGTTCTGGGATCACATGTGTGCCACTACTTCCAGCTTGCACCAGTCTTAAAATGAATCACTCTTTAAATCTCTTCCACCTAAATACATCCGATTAATTCTATTTCTTGGGGGAACCAGCAGCAACTAGCCACACAAATACACATGTATGAAAGCATGAATAATTTAAAGGCAAAAAAAATTGTTTTTGTCTTTTTGAGACAGGGTCTCCCTATGCAGTTCAGGCTGGCCTTGAGCTCACTTTGTAGCCCAGGCTGGTCTCAAACTCACAACGATCCTCCTGCCTCTGCCTCCCGAGTGCTGAGATTACAGGCATGTGCCATCGCGCCCGGCTTTAAAGGAAAAATGTTAAATAAAATTCAGGTGTGAGCGTAGCAGAACTGACAGGCATCTTTCCCTAAGGACTACTCTGCCTTGCTTGAGGCTTTATAGCTCCACTACTGATCATACTTTTGTGGGAAGTGTGACTGACTCTCTGGACCTCGGGTCAAATGCTGAGGTGTTTCATGATGATAATCTTGCATCCACAGTAAGGCTCAGTAGGCCTGGTTTATGTGTCTGGAAGGAGAATTCATATTTTTAAAATTTATTTTTACCAGCAAGACTTAATTATGATGCTCCCTTTACAGTAAAGGAAACAGAGCCACAAACTGGTCATGTTACCCAGGTTTAAGGAACACAGGTGGGATTTGCACTCAGGCAGGCTGCCTGTGGCGTCTTGCCTTCACCACACAAAAGACAAGGGCTGCAAATCTGACGCTGCATGGCAGTGGAAGTGAGTAGGTCTTTGTCTAAGTGCCTGTAAGTGTGTGTTAAGACCAGATTCTCTCTATAATGTCCGTGCGGACAGAATGATCATAATTGCCACTGCTTATTAAGCCCTAGCCAGGACCAGAACACTCATTTAATCTCTACATTGAACTCTCTCCCCTCTACAAATGAGGAATTGGAGGCTCAGAGAGGCTCAGTGATTTGCTTCGGCCACACAGCCAACGAGTGGTGAAGTGTGCTGCAAACAAGGACTGCCTGACATCAAAACCCACCCATTGGCACAGGCTGGCTTCTGAAATTGCCCGTTCTCACAGGCAGAAGGTAAACTAGTCCTTCCTTACCTCTGGCCAAGACTCATTTTCCTGTTGGACAGGACATCAAATAGCATTCACTCAACAAATAGCCAGGGGCACTAACCGTTGGTTTTAATTATAAGCCACCCAGGGCCTCATTCCTTAATGAACACCGCCACACCCTCCAAACCACAGAACTCAGTGAGACACTAAGTACTTTATCTGGATCTGGTATCATGCCCATTTTGTTTTAGCAGAAAAATCCTGGGCAATTCTTTCCAAATCCTGACACTTTGAAAGTTTGAAGTAGGCAGGGGCTGGGATTGGAAGGAGGAGCCGATTTCAGCCTGAGCTCCGAAGGAAATTCCTAAGACTCACAGCAAAGTCACAATGGGGAGATTTTGGAGAGGCCTATCAGTGGCCCTGCACAGGTGAAGACCGAGGGTTCCTTGCAGGGGTGGGGGGTGGGGCGGCAGGACAGACGAAGGGTTTCTATCCAAAGTGCATAGCTTTTTTTTTGTCTTTTTGAGACAGGGTCTCATTATGCAGTTCAGGCTGGCCTTGAGCTCACTTTGTAGCCCAGGCTGGTCTCAAA